TTTTTATTCATAGGTAACACCTTACCGCAAGTGTGATTATGTATGTAGACTACCCCAGACCAGTTATTTTGAGTCTCCTATGCTTTATGTGGTCCTTCCAGTAAGGCTTTGGAATCCACACGATTTATACTAAATGTTAATTACTGTATGTCTTTTCTACGAGCATCTTGGCAAGTTGATAGCTTGGAATCTGCCCCCAGAATGATACTCACCCTGTAAGGCTGTGTAAGGTGTGCTTTGTGCATGTCTGGGATGAAAGAGCAGGGAGAAGAGGAAATTTTTCAAGGCTATCAAAGGGATAAAAACAAGCTGTGTTGTTTGAAAGTGCACCTGATTCTCTACCTGCTGAAGAATTCATAGACAGAGGATGCATGACCATGGCTGAAGGCTTTCAAGAATTTTCTTACTCAAGTATGTAATTACGACAGTCTCTCTGTATTAAAAAGCAGCCCCAAAATCAACTGCATTTCTTTTAAACTGTATAATATTTGAGAGAATAACTTAAATTTTTTAGAAAATAGGTTTTTAATCTGGTGGCAGGAAATGTGTATTTGTTTTACTATGCTAGCCTGTATCCATTGTCTGGTGCCTATAAATACCTGTTTTGTTCATGGGCGGGTAAAAATTGCATGTAGTGTCTGAGAGTAAATGTGGGAAGGGAATTCCTTCTGAACACACAGAGTTCATAATTTTTACTGCTTGGAGGCACATGGGTTGATTATGAATGCCATCTTGATTCTTCTCAAAACAGTGGTTGTGTGTGAGGTACTATGTTTGACTCAGAACCTAATATATTTGGTATTTAGGAATCTGGCAAGAGAGAACTCTGTCCCCATATGCAGGCACAGCAATGAGATTGGGATGTAGGCATGCATAACTGTTATTTTCCCCCGTCTGTCCTATCCCTAGAAAGCCATATGCCACCCTCAGGCTAGTGTAATGGGAGTCTACATTAATGATTATGAGCTAGAAATAATCCAAGAAGAGTTGAGTGGCCTTTGTTTCCAGCTTTACAAGAAATACCTCATTGACTCAGTCTGAAATATATTCTGGGATAGGAAGTCGTAATTAATACAGAATTTCATGGTGCCCTTTCATGAAGTTTTAGTTGTTGATTTTTTTTTTCCTTGTTCTAAATTGGTTAGGGACTTGGAGATTCTTAAGTCTAATAGGCAGAGTAGGAATTTCAGCAAGAAGGTAAAAATTTAGTGCAAGTTGTTGACTCACCTACTATCAGAAATAAGCATCTGGAGCATACATCTCTAGAGAACCTATCCTCTGCAAGATTTCTAAAACCATTGAATGCCTTGTCTGTTGGCTGCCTACAAAATGAAAACTGTATGTATGCATGTATAGAAGTGTGATGGGAAAAGGAGAATGTGGAAATGGGCTGGAGTATTAAAGCAAGCCATGAAAGCAGATGGTTTACGGATTTTATAAAATAGGTTTCTCTTAATTTTGTTTTAAATGAAAACCATGAATGGTCACCATTGCAAACTTATTTTTAGCTGCGCCATAAGTATTAGGATGCAGTTGTCCCTGAATCATAAAAGGGCAAAAGTTTTTTGGCTGCTTTCCATCTTTATGTTTATAGAATTGTGTATGGTCTGTATGCATTACAGTTAAGCAATTTCATCACAGCCTTTCCTCAAAATTGATTGCTGTTCAGTGACTCTTCTCCCTCTCCATTGTCGGTTGGTTACATCTCAGACTCTCATGACATTTAATATTGATACTGCTTCAATTTTTCACTAAACTGGAAGAGTAGAAGAGTCTGGAGTGGATACTGCATGTCTAGATATATTCTGTAAATAGTTGAATTCCTATATCATTGTGGATCATGATAAATTTAGAGTTGGATTATTGCTTTAAGAAGAAATGACTGTTTGCTCATTCAGTGAAGAAGTCTGGTCATCAAGATGTTGGAATATGCTGCAGAGTTCTTCTGATACTGACATGAGTGCAAAAGTTGTTGCCAACAGCTGTCTTGGGTTTTGGGCACCTGCTGCCTCTCATTTCTTGCATCTCCCACTCTATCTTCCGCTCCTGAAGCTGGCAGTGCCCCTAAAAATACTTTGTGTTGAGTTCTTAAGTAGGAGATCTCTACCAAGCTGGTAGTCTGGATTCATGAGTCATCTGCACTGCAGTGAAATCTGTCCTGTGACAGTTATTGACTACGGCAAGGAAATGGACTTTAGGGCAAAGCTGGTTCCAGTCAGGTGGCAAAGGCATTGTCCTTCCAAAGGCTGCTGCCCTGTGCTGATCCTTCCTCCCTCCCTGCCAATCACAGAACTGTGTTTTGATTGCTCACTGCCATTTTTACATTTCCCCAGAGTGTGACAGACTTGAGTGGTGTGAATGATGTGTAAGGGTGATGTAGTGTAGTGAGTCTGGGAAATGTTGCTGGGAATTGCCCTATTGAGTGACATATGATTTTAGTGCTGTTTTCTTGATTCCATTGGAAGTTGGACTGTTGATATGTATGTGGAAAGCACCCGCTGCCTGAATAATCAATGCTCAAATGTGAATTTTTCAAAAGCACAGACGTATTACTCATGTAGTTCCCATATCCAGCCAGAGTCTTCTCCCAGGTGTCTGTATGAATCCCTAGGACAGAGGCTGCTGGTTTGGCCTGAGATCCTGTTTCAGTAACCTTTTGCTTCTGATACAGTTAGGAGGAATATCTTGACTGGGTTTTGACCTCAAACAATTATGTCCAGTATTTTTTCTGGTTCCTGTCCAGTGGGTTACCTGGAAGAGAAAAAAAAAAACCCTTTTCAGCAGAACCTTTCAGAAGTATTGACCAAGGGTGTTGAAAGATGACTTGTCTCCCAGAGCTGGAATTACAAAACTCGTAAGCTGCCATCTGGGAGCTGGAAGCTCACTTAGGAAGCAAGGAAACCAGATATTGCTAATTTATTAAATGGATTGCTTAAACTTTAAAAATATTAATGGACAGGCTGTGTCTCCTGTTATCAAAACTGGTAAATGCAAGTCTGCAAAGAGATCTTGGCACATGCTTAGAAGTTAGCAAAACTTTAACCAGTAGCCCTCTTGAGTTTTCCTTTCTGTATTATTTTATTAGTGTATTTTATTTAGTCAGATTTTTTTTTCCAGTGCAGCAATTTGTACTACTACACATTCTAATTTTCCTGTTTCCATTCAGAGGAGGATATCTATTCCTGTTCTTGGAGTAATAATTTTTTCCTCTCCTGAAGGCTGACAGAATTAGAAGCCTTGGCAGTACATGCAGAAGAGATGCTCTGTGATTAGTTAATCTAACAGTGTTAGATTCTCTTGAAGCCCTAATTCTGCTGCTGTGCATTGTGTCTTATTGGACACATATTGGTGATAGTGCTGGTTCCTTTTCCTTGCTCTCTCTTCTCAGCCCCTGTCCAGTGCCACTGAGTTACTACCTTTGGTGTATTTTGTCATGCAAATGTTTGTCCACCAGGAATGTGTCAGTTCATGTCTCAGGCATCCAGGAATGACAGATGTACCTCAGTAAAGAGTTAGTGGTGTACATGACCTACTTGCTGAAATAATAGCAGGCACCATGAAGAGTGCTATGTTCCTCCTGTCCATCTGCTGAGGATGGACAGACTTGCAATTGCTAAAATGTAAAAACAAAATTAAGCGCATCTGTCCTGACTGTAAAAATCATCAGGAAGAAAAATGTTATTCAAATCATATTTCTGTCAAGATTGGTCAGTGATTACCAGTAAACACCTGTTGTATATTGGTTTGTTTGGCCAAGGACTCGATGCTGCTGTATCAAGTCTGTCTGCAGAAAGTGGGGGGAATTGGCTTCCCTCAGTTGAAATGTAGATGTTCAGTTCCAGCCCTCTGAGCTGGTGCAAAGGATGAGGATGGACGACACGCATATCTGATAACACATCATCCCTCAGTTATCTGAAGTAGTCACTCTGTGCCATTAAAATGATGGCAGATCCCATAAAAATATTACCCTCCACCATCTGCTCCCTCTGGCAGTGAACTATGACCAAGAGGAAAGTTCCTTGTGCCCTGTCAACTCCCCTCAAATAAATAATCATAATGAAAAAAGGCCAGCCATTCTGAAGTTCCTGCTTAGCCAATGTGCTGCTGGTTGAAGCCCTGAGAGGCAGGGAAGCTTTGCAGCCCTTGACAGCAAATGAGAGCTGTGCCTGTCTCATAAATGCCTTGGCTTCAAAAAGAGGTGGTTATGGGCATGAAATGTTTATCATCTTGTACTTGCTTTCCTGCTGCTGAGTTACTGTGTAAGTAAAAAGTAGTAACAAATAAAGAAGATACAATACTGCAGGCTGCTTTATCTGCTTGTCTCCACCATTAAATAGACTTGTGGACAAAAGAAGGAGCAGGTGGAGGCAATGTGGCTTTGACAGAGTTTTGGACTGTTCGCTCAAGAGGTTTTCAGTTGCCTATGAAGGGGAATCTGGTTGGGAACCTGATCAGTCAACTGGCTTTCTGTTCGGAATCACTCTTTGAAATCGTCCATGGAAGAAAATTATTTTCTATGTTGGTCGGTTTGTGCATTCAGAAATGGCCTTTAAAAGATTACTTGTTCCTGGCACATAATTGGAAGTGGAACAGTTGTTGACCACCTCCTTTTGAGTCTACCCAGCACTGCCACGTTCATTGGTGCATGTTGTGTATCAGCATCTCTAACACTGTGCAGCATCTTGCATGGCTCCCTGGAACTGGCTGTGTCCCAGCTGCCTTTGCTTAGTTCCCACCCTACATGGAGGTCCTGCAGCAGGCTGTGGGCACTTTGCTCTGGGTTTGGTTTAGGGGGTGCATGTGCTTTTGTTTTGCTTTAACAGCACAGTTCCCAACTGGGGACAGCACTGCATTGCTTATGATGCTTGTCATTTTAAAGGAACTTTTCTAAACTTGTCATCCTAAAAGCTATATTGCACAGCAGCAGGCAGCCTCCAAAAATCACTGATTTCTCTTTTTCTTCTCTTTCCCTTCCTTTCTATCTTTCACTCTATTCCAAGCCTGTGGATTTGGACGCCTGGGTAAGCTCTCCTTTTTGTCTGGATCTTGCTTATTCCATGTGTCATGTTGTTACTGCGCGTGTACAGATTGTTATTGCTGAGCACAGATGCAGGATTTTATTTTCTGTCATTACATTTTAAAAGGTGTTCAGCTAGAAAATTGCATATTATTTCCTCCATAAAGATTTTCACTGGTTCCTTTTGTGTAGCTTACAGCTGCTGAAACCAAACTTGATCTGGCGATGTGTATTGTTGGCTAAGAGAGCAGCAGAAACAGGAGGAAATGAAGGTTATACCAGTATTGCTTTTTAAGGCCATGAGTTTCAGCTGGTCTCTAAAGTAGAACCTGGTCACCTGCCTTCAATAGAATGAAAGGTAGGACAAAAAGCCAGTGATTTTGTAGACCTTGTGTCTGGAACAGTGATTGCAGCTCCACGGTAATGGTGATATTTCTGCTGATGCCAGTGGAGGTTGAGTCAAGGCTCCCCTATGGCTACTTACTTGGTACAAGCCTCCCTGTAAAGGTCTGCTATTCAGTCTTGGGCATGAAGTACACAAATTGCCTCTGACTATTTCAGTGTTGCCCTTTCAGCTCTGCCATTCCCTTTAGACTTAGCCAGGAACATGCCAGCTAGCTAATTTTGGAGTTAGCTCTGTTCTTTAGTGAATTGCTGTCAATTCCTTCTTCTCATCTTGGAGCCCTTAATAGCATTTGTTTTGCTCCCCTGCCACCTGGACTGCTACCAGGACTGGAAGAGACTTGGGAAAGCACGAGGTATTAGAATTTGCAGTTGTGAAGTGTGGCAAGCTGAGGTGCCCAGCCAAAACATCTCTGCTGTGCTGCTGCAGAGATGTAACTGCATACCTTTGGGGGAAGCTGATAACTCCTCTCAGCAAAGACAGGGTGATGTAGAAACTAGGCATTTGATAGACTTGAGATCCTTTCCTTTATCCTTGGAGCTTATTTCCCTGGATTGCTGCTGACTGATTATCTAGGCATCATCTTGCTAGTTTGTCTGTGAGTGGTGGAAGTGCTTTGCCAAGAAGATAAATATTTTTGCAGTAATCTTGCCAAGTGCTGTGACTTGCCTTTTAGGAAGTACTTTATAGGCTGAGGTTTGGACTTTTCCTTCTAGCTTGAGTTGCCCTTTGCAGAGAGAGAGTTTTTGGGTTTTTATCCTCCAGTAGAGTCTTCTCCATACCCTCTTCCCAAATCCCAGAAGCCAAACAGTACTGAGGAGAGAGAGAGGCCGATGGTGGCTGTCAGCTGTGGGCTGTGGTAACGCTGCACTTTATTCCTGGGTGCCACATTCCTTACTATCATCTGACCCTGCCAATAAGCCTTTTTTTTTTTCCCCAAACAGATTTCTGCCCTTGTTTTCATGTTTAACAGGGTGATGAGGTGGGACTGTGATTAAAAATAATGAAAATCTGGTGATATTTTGGGGGGAGACAAAGCCAAAGCTAATCTGGGAATGGCTATAGCTAGAGTGAAGCCCAGCTCTAGATCAGTTGCACGGTCTGATGTGTGGCATGGTGTCAGTTCAGGACAAGGCTAAGAGTGTCTGGTTTTGTTCATAGTGAATGAACCAATAATATTTCATTACCTCAATTAGGAGCTTGTGAAATATTTCTTTTGGCCTGGCCAGTGCTTGATTCCTTTAGTTGAGCCAGTATATAATGTATAGCTTTAGAAATGTGCTTGCACTGTTTGTTTCTAAACGGGTTACTTTATAAAGGGAGGGAAGGAGGCAGAGAATCACATAACTCTGCCCTGGCTTTTTGTCACTGTCCAAGGCAGAACTGAGATAACCTGAAAAACCATGGGCTGCAGAAAAAAATGTGAAGATAAAGCAGAGGAAAATTTGAAAGGGCACCCAACCAGCCCATGGATCCATGCCCATGGAAGCTGTAGCAGCATGTTGGTAGTATGCCTTCACTGTCCGTTTGTAAGAATATAATCCTTGTAAATTCTGACACCATCACAGGGGATTCTTGAGCATTTCCCGAATACATCTTATACCTAGCTTTTGTAGAGAGGGCAATGGCCAATTGCATATGCATTCTTTTATAAATACATTCCCTTTTCTAAGTTTTGGGTGCATTCCTGTGTTCTATAGCTGAATATGCTCTTTCTTCCCTGTTTCTGTGTTCATACTTCTTGGATATCACACTACCTGTGTTCTGCACATCTTAGGTGTCATCTCTGGGCTTTGGTCACCTCTTGCACAATATGTTCAAACTCCAGTGTAGTTGTGCAGCTTGGAAGTGAAATGCAGCTTTCTGATATCTAATTTTCGAATCAGTGTGTTATCATGCATGTTTTCCCTTCTCCTTCCTTTTTTTAGTTCTAAAGGCCTTTTTTCAAAAAGTGTATTGATGCTTTGTTTGGCACTTGCAATCTCAATCCCCTGTGAAATTGTAATCATCTCCATAGCAGCCAGTTCTGTCTGGGACATCACAGGCTTCTGACTTCAGGTAGGGAATAAGCAGCAGGACTAGAGGAACTCTTAATAAATATCCTATATTCATTTAAAATGTCCCTAGTTGCCTAACCCAGTTTGGAACAGTGAATATTTCAGATGACACATGCTCTACTATACTATTTGTACTTCAAACATCATCATAAAGTGTACTAAAGTTTTTAGTAATAACAGCTGGGGATAGAGGGAAACAGAAAGCAACTTTGAAGCAGATCTGTCACAAATAGAGTGTTTCTCTGCATACTTCAATGCACTGGAACAGCAGCAGCTCTTGAAAACAAGCAAGGCATTGAAAATGTGTTTGTGTTGCAAGTACAACGTTCCTCTGTAACCCCTAGTTCATCATACATTATGAGTGGTAAGTGGAACAATGGGGAATAATATGGGAGAAATTACTTATGGGGAAGAATGGGGAGTACTCTGAGGTTATAGTCTGCAGTTGGGAGATGAAGTTTTGATTCTTTGACCTCAGTTTTGCAAGACCCTGGGGAAGTGACTGACAGAATGTCTGTCTGCTGCAGGGTACATGGGTGTGGAGGCACTATTCACTGCTAGCTCCAGTGGGGTCAGCTTGGCAGTGCATGGGTCATCATTGTGCAGAGCAGCACACCCCTAATGTGTCTGCATCTCAGCACCCTACTTGAGAGATTAGGTGTTTGGTTTGTGTTCCCTTGCAGAGGGGTTGTAAGGATAAATGTGGTAGATTTCTTGGTGGATGATGCCAGGCAAACTCACAGGTTGGAAAGTTGAGTGAATGTGTGGGTTTGTGATCCATGTCTTGCCAGAAACAGAATAAAGCCTCTTGCACACTGGTATTGTTATATGTATTGATTTTGTGCTTCTAGAATATCCACTATCCCAGGAGACTAGCACTGATACATAATTATTTAAATTAAACAGAAACTTTCTTGAGTTTATAAGAATTCATTACTTGACTCTCTTTTTCTTCCATCATATGATGCACCTTCCATCTAAATCATGCAGAGGGGTCAGTACTGTCTTACTCTTCTTCCTCTTCCTTATTTATTTTCCCCCTAAGGAAATACAAGTCACTTGTGGAGTAATCTGATTTTATGGGCATTATGCAGAAAACCTGCAGGAGAATTAGGGTCCTTTGTTCATCCACCAGACCACCCCACCTTCTTACATGTTTCATTTTATTTGAAATTGCTTAGTCCCTTTCTATGTAGGAGATTGGTTCAGAGGAGTAGCTATGGTTCCTTTACCAGCAAATGGTTATAGTTCTGGCACTTAAAAAGTACCCATTGGTGCCCTTATTGTTGCTGTGATATCTCTTTTGTTAGGCTACATGTGTGGGGCAGCTCATTCTCATCCCTGTCCCCATCCTATTCCAGCTGGTTTGCAGGTGGGAAGTAATACAGCAGCTATAGGTTAAAGCAAAGCCAGAGATTTTGCTTTTAATCAAGTGCCTTTGGGAGAGAGAAGATTTAGATATGAGTCTCTACTGCTTGTGCTTTATCCTGGTCCTGTTTTCTGGGACAGCAAACATGGAAACCAAAATATTTCTTTTTTTAAAAAAAACAAACAAAGAAACCCACATCACCACCACACCCCTACAGTCTTTCTTCATATAATCCTTTTCTTGCTTGCTTATCAACCACCCTCACTGCCTAGATTAAAATCTCTTCTAAACCCTATTATACCACTGTATTTCCATCAGCAGGGGAGCAGAAGGGACATGCACAGCAACTTGCTTTCAGATGTAATTTTTCTTGTTAGCAATGGCTTTTGGCCGTAAAATGACAAGTCTGAGCCCACGGGGATATTGCTGTCCCAGCTGCTTAATCATGCTGGACCAGCATTTTCTGTGGTTGTACCATCATTAGAAGTTAAGAGAATGTTGCTGGGGTGCTGTGGACTGGCAGGGTTTGTGTCCATGTTAAGCAGGCTAATCATTCTGGTTTTGAAAGGTCTTCTGCCTGCTGTTAACTTCCGTGGCCCCAGAGATTTTGAGGTGGGATAGGGGATGAAGAACAACTGCCATATTTCCTTGCTATTGTTGCTTGTTATTTTTAAACTTCAAAAGTTTGATTCAGTTCCATCAGTGCCATGTTTTCTTAATGCTAGTTCAATCTAGAATCTAGGGGTGGGAATATAATGAGGAGATGCTGGCTGTAAGGAGCTTGAAGGCTACAGCTGTTGCTGTGCCCACACAGACTTTTTAATTGAGCACTGTTTAGCTGATGAATACCATATTTACTGTTTTGAAAGTGTCATGCTTATAATTTGGAAGATAGAAGAGAAATATTCTCTGACAGCCATCTCCCCTCTGAGTCTGCAGCACCAGCCAGAGGAACTCTGAGGGTGCTGATGGGGAATGCATAGAGAGCATGTGGAGAGAGTACTTAATTATCTGGATAGTCCTATGTATGTCTGTTGTAGAGAAGTATTTAATCCTTAGAAGCTTTTGGACACTCCAAGGGGCAAGGGTTTATAAAGAGGAGGATTTGAGGGGATTTGTTGGGTTTTTTTCTAAGGTGAAAAACATTTGAGTAATAACTGTCGTGATTCATGGAAAAACAGACATGGATAAGATGGAGTTCTGAAAAAGGGAGTGGAGAAGTGTTACCTTTCTACGATTATATGTTTTCATTTAATAAGAAGTGTAAAACCAAGGGTTTGAGTTCGAGTATGATGCTAATAATAAGAGCATTTCAAACATCAGGGGATAATCCAAAATGAGCTGCAATTCTTAAGGTTTGTAGTTCCACTGATGGGGGATCCCATGCACGAGTCCTGAGTAGTGATTTTTTTAGTTCCTTCCAGTCTGCATCTCATGTGCTTTCTTTGAACTACGTTGTTTATTTTTAATTTCTTCTTCTACTGATGCTGTTTTCTTGTCCTTCCCAGGCTATGGAGCTGCAAGATAGGGAGGCAGAGTTGAAGCTACAAGAGGCCTTCTATAAAGATCAGTTGGCTCGCATTGAGAAGAAGGTGAGGCTGAGTTGTCTTTATTTCTGGCCCCTGTAGGGGTAGGACATGGATCTGTGTGGATCCAAAAGATAGAGAACCAAGATCTGTTGTGCTGCAACCTGGAACTGTCAGATGACAGTGTCTTATCTGCCCCCCACCCTTTATACGAGTGATGAAAAAGCTGTACAAATCTTTTGAGCAATTTGTGTTTGAAAGATAAAGATTTTTTTAACTGGATGATTTTTTTAAAAAGATTTCTAGTATTTCAAACTCTATTATCTTTTTCACCATGGGATTTAGGTGAAAGCTAAATTGAAAAAACCAAGCAAGTGCCCTGCTTTTTATTCCTTTTGTTAAAAATCCTTTCCTTAGTAAAAAAAAAAAAATCAACCACCACAACATAAATTTTTGCTATAAATATGAATTAAAATTGTATTATTAATTTTTCTCTGGGGAGCCAAACAGTTCAAAGAGTGGTGCTGCAGTACACTGCCTGCTTCTTGCTGGATAAGCCTTTGAAATGAACGTGATTTAAAGAGACATTGTCAAGTGTCTTTTGAGCCTGAAATGACCTTTGAAAATCCATTTAGGGATTTGAATCTCTCCCCTAAACGTGGGATTTTCTTCTCTGTTTAATTGTTTACCATGATGAGTTTTTAAAAATTGATGCCATAAAAATAGGAGCAGCCAGGCTGTTCCTTATGAACTAATGTGTTCTTCACTTCCTGGCAAAATGAAATAATGTTATAAGTAGTCTTTATTTTTTAATAAATGTGGAGAATAATCTTCTCCAATTTGAAGCCATTAGGCTTCCTGACAGGGAGTTGCATGCATTCGACTCTTAGTTGTGTTATGTGACTAAAAAGAAATGCAAACAATGAAAAGGGTGGGTTGTAAAGAAACAGAGAAATCAATCAGTTTTATTACCAACATGTAGCAGGATGGTGAGTATGGAACATGGGAAAATTGTGGATTATAGAAACGGTAGGAATCTGTTGGCATATCTATTCCTCTTTTCATTCCCTCCTACTGTATGACTGTCCATGCTGCATTTTTTTGAGCTATCAGTGGTAAAACATGCCTGTGAGCAAATTCGCATGATACAATTTTGCAACACTTTAATCCGTACAATTCATTAAAAATAAACTATTAAAACTACCACTCGGTGTTGCATTCGTATTTTAAATTCTATTTCTAGATAATGGGGATTGTTCAGTGAAATTGCAAACAATCTAGCAGCTATCGTTCTAATTATCACAGTTGTCCATATGTTCATACGCAAAGGGAATTTTTGCAATTTCTTGGTCCCATGCTGTTTGCTTCTATTATGTTCTTCTCTCCGGATCTGGTTTCATGAAGCGGAAATTACAGGGAAAACCTCTGTGTCTGTCCTTTATGGACAGTGGAGTGGGGAGAAGTTTGTGTCCAGGCTTCATTGTCCTCTTTTTGAAATCTTTTGTTGTAGTTTGTGTTTTCAAGTCCATGTCCCTTGCTACAGGAACACCTTTATAAACAATGTGATGGATATTTTAGTGCAGGATCTTCTTGGGGGGAGTAAGGTGGGCTGCCCGTCGTCCTATTCAAACTGCAGAGCTACAGAGAAACTATCTTCTAGTTGTTATGTGTACAAAAGCAAGTAGATAAAAAGAACAGGTTTTCTTTCCTCTTGAAACACTGGATAGTTTCTGACCCTTAAAGACTAGCATTTTGCTGGTAATAAAATAGAAGAATACCTCCAACCGTTAGTCTGGATTGGAGTGGGAGGTGGTGGGGGCTAGACGGGAAAGGAGAGAAATGTACTTGAAACAGTGTAATAAAGCTTAATTGTATTAGTTTTGAAAAAGGTTTTTGATCTTCTCTGAGGATAATTTTATTCCTATAATGGTTGGAAAGATGGAAAATGCAGCACAGAACAATCTTTTTTATTAGCTGTTGCTTTTATATAATTCTGCTTTTATTTGTTGAATACACGCAGACCTTGACATTTATTTATTTATTTTCCCTTCCACTGTGCTAAAGCTTTCCAACTCAGGTTTAGGTATATTTTTATATATCTGTGTTTGTGTGTGTCAATATTGGAAAAAAGCTCTCAGTAAGGGGATGGTGGGGGAGAGCTCTGAAATAGAATTTTGCTTTCTCTGCTGTTTTAAGAGGGGATGGTCACTTGAAGTGTGGTCACTGGTAGTTCAGAGGTGTTTGGCTGTATGTGGAATTAGCAAGCTGAAATTTCTCCTTCTAAGGATCAGGCTATCAGGAATTCCCCTCTCTCCCCCTCTGCTGTACCCAGGTTGGTTTTGTCCCCACTTCTGCATGATAACAGAATTCGGCAGTAGGAGACTTAGACATTTGTTTTTGAAGGATGTTTTGAACTATTGATTTTAAAAACCCAGTACATTCCCAGTAGGATGCTAAAAGTAATTGTGTTACATACTCCTTACAACATAAGAGCTGCTCAGTGAATCAAACATGGAGACTCTCCTGTTTCCTCTGACATTGGTCAGTTTGCAAAGGCTTTGAAGGAAGAAGAAAAAAAACCATCACCAAAACAAAGCCACAAAGAAAACTTTCAGAGAGGAGCTTTGAGAAGAGTCTTCCTAAATGTTGTCAGTTGGAGGCAGACACATGCCCTGCTGCTCAAAAGTTTATTTTCATTCAGTATTTTTATTCACTGGAAGTTGGATTACTGCCATTGTTCTTCTACGCATCTCAGGCATTTTTCCTGTATCCCTGTTTAGCTCTGTGCCTCCAACATCATGTGGCAGTGTGTGCCAAGGTTAACTTATATACTCTATAAATTCTCTGTTATCAGTTTAAAATAATTTTTTTGCATTTAATATCCTTTTTGTGAAAGAGATAAAAGAAATTCTCTTCATTATTCATTATCTGTAGACTTCTGTTCCCTCTTTTACCTTCCCACTAAACTGAGCAGTCCTTACCTTTTCAGCCTCTGCTTGTGTGAATGATTTTTTCCAGGTTTCTCATTCTACTTGTTTGTCTTTTGGCACTTTCCCCCTAGCAGCTCTGTCTTTGAGATGTATTGACCAGAATTGAACTCAGTAGTTCCCTCGAATGCAGCAGATTGTGTGAATACATTATCCTTTTATTTTGTAATCTCTGAAAAAGTACTGTAATCTACTGGACAGAGCACAGAATTGGAGGGAGAAACCCTGCTCATTTTCTAATAGCCGTTTCTCTTTTGGGAGTTTGAAACAATTATTTAGTCCATCTATCTCAGTTATTCCATCTATATGATGGAATAGCTTATAATGGGAAGGCAAAGTGTTGTGAAACAGTAAAGCTATAAAAATGCTAAAAAGGCTTTGCCTTTAGTTTTGCATGAGGTGAAGTATGGCCATACCTTATTTCAAACAGATCTTGAGAAACTCAGTTTCTCCAGACAGTCGTATTAAAATTTTCATGGGGAAAGGCATGTATGAAAAAATAATTGCAGTATTTCAGGTTCTGGGGTTTTCCCCTGCATCTTCTACTAAAGCACTGGAAGAAATGGGAACATGAGTGCAGCCGTTCTGTGTCACAGTGAGGATCCATCTAGTTCAGTTGGCTGGTCCTGGCTGTGGCAGAATGTCCAAGGATAGCTAAAAACTGAACTGCTGGGAAAAGAGGTTGTGGAGTCTCCTTCACTGGAGACAGTCAAAGAGCATCTGGACACAATCCTGTGCCATGTGCTCTGGGACATCCCTGCTTGAATAGGGAGGTGGGATCAGAGGACCCACTGTGGTCCCTTCCAACCTGACCCATTCTGTGATCAAAGCAAGCTTATTGGGGTACTTGTCCCAAATGCTTTGACCATCCTGGCTAGTCATTTTTGGAACTTCTCCTCATGTATTTAGTCCTCGGAGGGTTGTGAACCAGGACAGTGTGCCTGGTGCTCGAGATAGGGGGGACTGTGAACATGTGTGACAGCTGTGTCAGAATCACTGTTTGGTTCTCTGTTTCTTTGTGGTGCCTGACACTTGATTTGCACTTCTGACTTGTGTTGAGCGAATGCCACATGCTGCTGCTACTGGCAGCATTCCGCTGTTTTGTGTGCAGACTTGAACATACACGGTGGGTGTGCTGGGATTAAAGCAATGCTGGGATTAGTTGCTGGGAATATTCTTCCCACTGCACCCTTCATTGTCAGTTTGTCAGGGGTTGTGTGTATGGGAAGGAATGGTGGGCTTTGTTCTGCCTGCAGAGTGGTGCATGCTTCTTAGAGATTTTTCTTTTAAATCAAATTTTGTTGAACAAATTCCTTGCAGAGGATCATTACACTGGTAAAACCCTTCATCTTCCTCACTTTAACTCTGATTGTTGTAGTTGTGTTTCTGTCTCTTGGGTCACTTGTATTTTTTTGTTTTGGAGTGCCTGGAATATTTTGGTAATCAGGAAAATGAGAGGGGAAAGCTCCTTTGAAATGACTGTTTCTTACATGATGGTGTGTGATTGCAGGGTTGGAGCTGGTGATACAGACATTCCATTCCACACCTGTGTTTCCAGTGTGACTGTCTAATCTCCAATAAGTAATCCAGTAATGAGATCTGACTAATTTGTTATAAGTGGTTAAACTTCTAACTCTGACTTGTTTCAGTAATTTTACTCTCATCCATGTAATCTGAATTATTTCATAAAATGTGTGTCTTCTCTCAACTGTTTTGAATGAGGTTCTGTACTGTAGAGTTCCTCTGGGTAGAAAGAATGAGAGTTAAACTAGTAATCTGTAGGGAGAACCTTAGACACACTCAACTTGAGAAGCTCAAGGTGATGTTTTTTAATGCATTTATTTGTTGCTGAGAAGCAGGGAGGAGATGGAGGGAGCTTATTGCAAATAGTTAACATATATACTGCTCAGAACTGGGATTTTTGTTAGGGATTCTGTGTATGCTTTGTCCTTCTTTCTCCAAGTAGTAGAAACGTCCTTTAAAAAGTATCATGAGAGAAAAGTGCAGTCTCTCCTGGAACCCTTCAGATACCAGGAGATTTCACTTAGCATGTTAGTAGTATACTTTGTCCCAAGTAAA